GCGAGCGGCGCAGCCCTGAGGAAGACGCTTGCATTGTTCAGCCGTCGGTCAAGTTTCCCGCAAGTCAGGGTGTCCACAAATTAACAGAAAATCCCGACTGTATAGACGTTACAGCCGATGAGACAGGCGAGACCAGTTCTGCTCTGCAAATGTTGCAAGCGCACTTCTCAAAAGTGAGCACTGGACAACGTCCAAAAAGAAAAAGACGCCGCACAAGCAAAAGGAAAACCAAGGTTGCCGGAAAATCGCTAATTGCCAAACAGCAATCGAGGCAACGAAAGCTTCGTTTGCGTTTTGTGGCATTCGCCAGTCGAGTGGGTCCCTATGCTTCAAACCGCCCGACAGATAGAGGGGTGAGGCAGGCATTTGTTCGTGGAGCTCGGAAGAGCCGACCCCCTTCGCTCCATTGTCCTGCTCGAAGCGCGGGGCGCCTTGCGAGGCAGCGCCTTTCGGCCGAGCGACACGACATGGTTCGGAGACCAGTTTCCATAGAACGCGGTGACGACGAAGGCATGCCTCCGAGGTGTAGACCAACGGGAAACAGGCGTCCGTGTAGCGGCCGTACACGCTTTTGTCTGCCCCGTTTGTTTCGAACGGCTCCCCCAAGAGCGCGACCACCTCGAGCGCGGATAAAGTTATGTATATGTACATAGAAACGTAAACGTAACCTTCAAGGCTAATGAGATGTTGTCTGAAATAATATTCATCGTTGTCATTGGATTGTGAAGCACATAAAGGGTCAGAAAATGTAGGGGCAGATTACATGAGCCGAGTCGGCGATGAAGAGGCCTGCGTGTACTTGGGTTCAATGAAATGCGGATGATCGCTTCGCGCATAGAGGCCACATTTCTAAATATTTTTTTTGCATACATGGATGCTTCGTACCTTTTTAATTTTGTCTGAAACCTTTCTGTATCACTTTGACTTCGAATTGCTCGGCAGTTGTTTTTCTTCTTGTGAATTTGGAAGAATTATGTGTAGTGATTATCTTGTGATCCGTGTCATGATCGCCAGAAGGGGTGCTTCGAATACAGCTCCCTCGATTCTAGCAGTGTGTGTTATTTCGTATTTCATGTGTGTGTCCGTGTCGTGGTGCGCGGGTTATGACATTCATCGTATGATGACCGTGAAGTGTAATGTGTCAGGTGTTCTCTGCGATGTCGTCCACGTCAGGGAAATGGTGCGCGCGAAAAAGAAAACGCATTAGTGGACAACCGGAACACGGCAGGCTCTCGAACATTGAGCGTTTGTGATTTTCTTGAACATTACGAAGTAATATTCTTAAGAAGGGGGCTATGTCACAAACGACTCCAATTTTCGGAGCATCCGCGGGCCCCATCTTCCAAGAAAGGGCGTTTTTGTGTTGGGAGACGACATCCGGCGACTATAACGACCCAGCGTGGCGCCGGCTCGTCTTCCCTGCCCCTGACCGGAAGGGGAACTGGCGGTCTCAACAAGGAAAATTACTCCCAGATGAGATGGGAGCACGTGGACGCCCTGAAGAGGTTTGAACTGCATCGGAAGAGCAGTTGACGTACAGACAGCAACAAGTGCGGTCGTCGGTGTCGCGAGTCTCGCGTAGGCGGCGAGCACGGAGTGACCCGCGCAACGTATTGAGACGGCTGCAATTCCGGGCACCCTCGTCGTCTACCAAGCCGGCGAGACCTTCAGCGGCACCCGTCAACTCCCCTACGTGCACCAAGGGCTGGTTTGGTCCGTATGGAACTTTTTATTGTGACTTTTTTGTTAAACCGTAAACTTGTTTTAACCAGCCTTTTTTTTTAATATTTGTAGTGTGCGCTGCGTCGCACGTTTAAATTCTAAAGCGCCACCATGATCATTCTGTAATTAATTTCTAGTGTCTCTCTCCCTTGATTTCCATCTTGTTGTTATTTTATTAATGTTCCGCATATTTGTCTTTAGTCTGTATCTTTTGTAGTGCTTTTTAGCACATTTTGTTATACAGCTGTTGTTCCTACCGCGCGTATCAGTTTTCCTCCTTTGTTATTTTTGTAATCTCCTGCCCATGCCATTGTTTCAATTAAATACTTGTTTATGTGTAATCAAACTCCGTGTCTGCTTATGAGTGCGTCGGTCAGGCCCACACATCACCACACGTGCAACCCCGCACGGGTCGACCAACCCGCAAATGAATTCGAAATGTGCCACTTCGAGGCCTTTCAGGCGTCGCAGGCCGAAACGTAAAGTGGAAGCTTGCGAGTCTGCCGCACGTCGATGTTGGATCGGCGGGGCCTCACCCGAAGTGCGTGACACACATATGAAACGAAATCTCCGAGATTTTCATACAACTTCCCACGATTGAGGAATAGCACTCGCATGACCTTTTTTTTTTGCTGTTATTTTTGCTTCCGGTATATGGCAAATTTTATTATGCTATAAGAGAACTGGACATAATGAATTTTAGTTTCTTGTATCAGAACAGTAACGGAAGTGAATTTTTTCGCAAATGGTTTGCAGGGGATCCAAACGATAAAAGCTGCAATTAGGAGCTTTGTATGAACCTGGCCACCTTATGCACCGGGCAGCTTCATAGCAGACGCACATAAAACAGACTAACGCAGGGCAGTATAGTGCACCAAAGTGGTTACCATTAAAACAATAAGCGATGTTAGAAATAGAAGCACCTCGTAAAAGCATAACAAAGAAAGTTCGTGAAACGGGCCCCTTTCACGAGTAGTTACAGTCGTAAAACATATACGGAGTAGATCCTTTTATTGAGCAGTTCCCGCTAAACTAATTGCTTGAATTATTTCATTACGAAGATTATTAAAGTAAAAAAAATCCACGCATCTCCACGAAGTGAATGATTACGAGTGGACGAAGCTAGATGTCAAGGTCTATAATGTCTACCTTGACGCTACCGACTATAGTATAAATAACGGACGGAAGGACGGAGGCGTTCATGTATTGTGCTGTCATATGCTTGATTGATGTGCACATCAAAATGGTTTTTTACACCGATGTTTTCGCTTTCAGATGTGCAGATGTCAAGTTTCGGTTTTGTGTAGCGTGACGCTCTGCGACAAGGCTGTAGGACGTCGGGCACTTTGCCCCAAAATGTAATTTAATTTCCACAGCTTCATTACTGACCTGTCTGCAATAAACTACAGCAGAATGCCGATGCGAAGGAACTGGGACGAAATTCTGGTAAGTTTTAGTACTAAGCATACCCTCTATATAGGTAGATCCTCAGGTTCTAATGCGATGACGACAAAGAAAAAAAAAAGAACAGTGAGGGGGTAACTTATCTTCCACATGTAGCTTCATTTCGCGTTATCTGTATGCACTGCCGTAAGATTGTCTCGACTTTTATTACCCATTATCACTTTCTGTCGCGGCCAATGCCCAACTGCGAAAGGAAGTATTTTCCTCTATGATACGACGAGTTTCACATATTTTGTTGTCCTTTCCCGGTTTCGTCTCTGCACTACAACTTCCTCTGCTTTTCACCTTTTTTATTTTGTTACTGTATTTACACTACACGTGGGCCATTTATATTCCGCAATATGGTTTTTCCCAGGAAGATCGTATCACGAGCACGTTACACCAGGAACTCAGCGACCCCTGCGGTTCAGTGAGCTTTATCGTCTATCGAACTTATAGCCGTGGAGTTCCTCCACGCGTTGCCCGAGATATACTGTGGCAGTGAATTTGCATGCAGACTGGCGAACCCATTTTGTCTTATCGCAAACCGTGCAGCTCGCGGCGCATCGCCTAAATGTCACTGCGCATCGCACCTGTTGTTCTTTGTGAATGGGAAGCAGTGATTGTTGTTTCCTGATTCCTCTAATCTACTCCGCAGCCATTCATTTTCTTTCTCTTCTTATGGGACCTGCATTTATTTTATCCTTATAGAGATAGCGTGGCAGCGCCTTGGGCTGAATTAATTAAATCCACGATAGAGTATGCCATGATATCCCGTGTGAACAATTCAACCACGTGCCGCAGCCAAGAACTGAAATCTGGTTTTAGGGAAGTGAATGCACGGCTTCACAATGAGACACACCACAGTGTAAAAGCTTTGTATTACCGGTAAAATATTCAGGTCTATCAACGAGCGCCCATTTCAACGTACTAAGAACATTTATTTCTCTTTCTATCTCGTTTTCTAGAACTCTGCCCCGATTTGAATGCAGCCTCAGGAGTGGGGATTCAACTTGCGACCGCCTATAGGAGAGGATGTACACATACGACCACTATTCCGGTTTGTGAATTTCAGGCATGTTCTAACAGCGAACGGAGTGCCCTCCATAAGCGTGCGATGAGGGAGAGATAGGAACGGATGAGCAGCCCCCCCCCCCCCTAATCATCCAGAAAGGAGGGGGCGGATAGTCGGCTGATAAATTTACCGATTTAAATCTTCAACGTGATTGTTTTAATACGCAGGGTTATCGCTGGGCATGTTGTTGACGATAATGTCGATTAAGAACCGCCGATGTTGCATTCAAAAACTTGTCGCTCCTCACATATAGACCGGAAAACATGGGAGCAATAACAGACCCTCGTGGGAAGCTCGTCACCGCGTCATTTTCATATTTGCATTCATTGCAGAGCTGTTTTCTTTTTCGGACTCGACCGGGGGGGGGGGGGGGGTTGCGCTGTGGTAAAACAAAACTTCCCCCTCCCCTCCCCTCAGTAAATAACCTTGCGCATGTGCACGATGATGGCGTTCTCCATCAAGGAAAGTTTCCACGGGGAGCACAGAGGGAATGCTTTAGGTGTAATCAGATGTTTAAAGATTATCTGGAGAAGCAGTGCTAAATTGGTATAGCCGCGCCACTGAATAACAGGCAGTGGGCTCAATTCCAAGGGCCCCCAGGCACATTCCTGCTTTCTTGTGTCTCTAGCTCCCTCCCCCTCCTTCTACACACAGTCGCACAGGACGCCGCACTACTACCGTGCTCCATTACGGCTTGCGGGAGTAGTTATCTTGCCTAACCTAAACCGCTATCAGGTTTCGCGAGCTGCATTCGACTTACCTGCTCCTTCGTGAGACCCTCGAACAGGTAGTCGTGGTGCGGTTCGTAGTGGCCACCGGGTCCGTATGAGTTGTACTGTGTTTTGCGTTCATGCGGAAGAAATAAACAAGAGAGATGAGACCGCGATTGTGAACGGGAAGAGGCGCGAGAGGCAAAGCGTCGCACTTGCGACATATACTAAAGGAAAGAAACGTGAGGTCAAACGAGGGTATCGACGTGCCTCTTCCTTGGTCGCATGCAGAGTCTAAGCTTAAGACTAGTCGGTGCAGCCAGTGATTCACCGATTAAAACACTGCTAGACTCACCAGTGATCCGGCTGTGTTCGCGGTGTTTCCAACGACAAAGTACGAGACAGAAAGTCTGCCTCGCGAAATGCCTTCGAGAACTGCATGAAATTACGTATCGTCCAGCACCGAGAGCAAACTTTGTTCCTATATGTTCCTCTAGTTTACTCATGTATGAATGGGTGAATTCTGTTGTAACCAAACTAGAGTGGATTGTCAATAAGAAATACCATAAACAAAAGAAAAAGTACAAATAAGAGAGAATGCCTATAGATAATGCGTGAAACGAATCACGGCGTCTTTAGGGAACAATGGAATACGAGGTAAGCATTTAATTTTGGTAGAACGGAAACACCGACAAACTAGGCGCCCTAGCTATTACCAATGTTGACTGGAAATACTGGCAGCGCTGAAGAGAAGGAATCTCTCGCTCACAGCAAGCGAGCACCAAAGAACGCTCAGACGAAAGTCATGAGAAGATACGGAGGCAGCAAGCTCTAAAAAAAAAATCTCTGCTCAAACAAGAGTACATGAATTTTTGAACTCTATTGTTATAAACAGAAATACAGTAAAAGGAAAACACGTTGACAACATATGCATCCATGCAAGTATAACATACATAAATTACAGACGGCAAATAGAGTTACAACAATGAATGATATTTTAGCTTAATATGCAGATTGTTTTAAAAAATATATGACATACGCAGATACATAACACACTGAAGAAGAAAAATACTCTACAATTTCAACAGGTTTTGGTTTGCATAATATTACAACTAATATTTTTGTACAGTATGGTAATAGCATTCCAGGTCAGCATACAAAACATTAGCTTAACATTATGACACTTTTCGTCATTTCACTAAACATATCAGAAGCCTAATAGAGCTTTTCGTAAGGACGTTTGAGCCTCAGGTATGAAATTATTTTGTTGTTTCACTTGCACTGGTCGGTTAATTCACAATGACTTTGAAACGCTATCGACTCGCCTTTTGCCATAAACATTTTTACCAGTGGTTTCAGGAAGTTAGCGCAATGACGGGCTCTTCTTTGCAATTGTTCGCAAGCCATAAAAAGGGAGCGGTGAAGAGGGACATCGCATGTTAGAGACTTGTACTCCATTATTCTTGTTTTATAATTTGCGACCAATCCGTTGCGACAAAGACCTTTTAACTGAGTTCTCACCTGCAATATCTCGGAGTCCCCGCGCTCGTAGTCCGTAGACAGTCCGGTGAGCATGGAGACCCGTTGGTTGACCCTGACCAGCAGAGGGTCGGAATCGGGGCTCACCCAGCCCACCTGGCTGATACGGCCGTGGGACACAGTGTTCTGTGTGGTCTCGCGCACTGTGGCACGGGCCAACTGCGCGAAAAATGGAAAAAATGGGAACACTTTACAGCGATGCCACTAGAATGAAACAGACACACACTATATATATATATATATATATATATATATATATATATATATATATATATATATAAGGGAGAGAAGTGGTCTCGTTTTTCCGTGTTTTGACACAATATTAATGAGATCTAACAGACAGTAATGCCAAGAAATGTACAGGGGAAGTTATTAGAACCAATGAAATGTAAATAAGAAGAAAGAAAAGTGGATGAAAAAATAACCAGCCATGAGCAGGAATCGAACTACGACCTTCGAATAACGCGTTCGATGCTCTAACCACTGAGCTACCACAGCGGCCTTCCCTCCATCCACTTTTTTGGGCTTATATGAGAATTTAGAAGTAGGAGTGTCAGTCAGCGCCATCTATAAGCCAAGCGACGAGTGTGAACCACTCTTTTATGCGCATGTTTGGCGTCACGTAGCAAGTGAACTTATTACGAGCGGGCAGCTGATTAATAGTCTCTCGTATACAACCCAATGACACCAAGTCTGCCAGTACGAGACCCTCGTTAAATGAAATAAGGGAGAGAAGTGTATACCTGAGGACTCGTTTTTCCGTGTTTTGACAACAATATTAATGAGATCTAACAGACAGTAATGCCAAGGAATGTACAGGGGAAGTTGTTAGAACCAATGGAATGTAAATAAGAAGAAGGAAAGTGGATGAAAAAATAACCAGCCATGAGCAGGAATCGAACCTACGACCTTCGAATAACGCGTTCGATGCTCTAACCACTGAGCTACCACAGCGGCCTTCCCTCCGTCCACTTTTTTGGGCTTATATGGGAATTTAGAAGTGGGAGTGTCAGTCAGCGCCATCTATAAGCCAAGCGACGAGCGTGAACCACTCTTTTATGCGCATGTTTGGCGTCACGTAGCAAGTGAACTTATTACGAGCGGGCAGCTGATTAATAGTCTCTCGTATACAACCTAATGACACCAAGTCTGCCAGTACGAGACCCTCGTTAAATGAAATAAGGGAGAGAAGTGTATACCTAAGGACTCGTTTTTCCGTGTTTTGACACAATATTAATGAGATCTAACAGACAGTAATGCCAAGGAATGTACAGGGGAAGTTATTAGAACCAATGGAATGTAAATAAGAAGAAGGAAGTGGATGAATATATATATATATAATATATATATATATATATATATATTATATATATATATATATTGTAAAGAAGCTTCCGAACACTGAAATTGGTGGAACTCTCAGGTGCCTTCTAGTGGGTCTACCCAAAAGGGATGCCGCTCGCACTGAGAGCCCGTGCTTGGCCGTTACTGTCGCCATTGTGCTTGCTCGCTGTGGACCGGCTAATAAACGCCTTAACATTTTGGTGGAGGTGCTGTGCCCTTCAAACATCTTCGGTTCACATTCGATGCCCTTGGAGCTTAGATCCCGTACCGTGCCTTCAACCATGCAACAAGACGCCGCCCAGCAAACGCTTCCTCCTGCGCCGACGCCATGTTCTGGTGTCCCCCGCATCCGCGACCCACCTGTCTTCACCGGCGCGGATGGCACCGACGTCGAGGACTGGCTCGCCATGTACGAACGCGTCAGCGTCCCCAATCATTGGGACGAGGCAGGTAAACTCGGCAACCTGGTTTTCTACCTCGCGGGTGTGGCCGGCATGTGGTATAACAACCACGCGTCTGATTTCGCAACCAGGTCCGATTTTAAGACCGCTATCACCAACGTTTTTGGCCGCCCTGCCGTTCGTAAGCTGCAAGCCGAGCAGTGCTTACGCGAACGCGCTCAGCAGGCCGGTGAATCATTCACCAGTTACATTGAAGACGTCCTGGACCTATGCAAGAAATCCAACGACAGCATGTCCGAATCAGACAAGATCCGGAACGTCATGAAGGGCATTGCCGATGATGCCTTCACGATGCTGCTTGCCAAAAACCCAGGCACAGTAGCTGAGGTCATCACGCTGTGCCAGAGCTACGAGGAGCTCCGCCGGCAGCGTTCGATGACCCGTCGCTCCACACCACGAGATGCAGGGCTTGCAGGCCTGGAGGCGAGCTGTGACCAGGTGGCACTGCTGGCAGACCTCAAGTCCTTCATACGTGAGGAAATCGCACGGCAGTTCTCTCTCCTGCCCTTTGCCCACCCACCGGCTGCTCAACAATCGGCCACTACCAATAGGGCAACGCCTCTATTTTCGTGACCAACCCATCCCCGTACACTGTCACCTTGGTTCGAGGGGAATGTCTCGGCAGAGTGGAACCAGTGGATAACGCACAAGTCCTGGACGTACCTGATGACTCGCGTTGTCCAAATTTGCGTACCATCAGTGCTGTTTCCACTTCTGATTCATCATCTCCTGATGTATTTGGCCCTTACATTGATGACAACCTCACGTCGGTACAGCGTTCCCAGCTTCTGAACCTGTTGCGAGAATATCGTTCTTCTTCCGATGTCCGGCGAAGTTCTCTCGGTCGTGCGTCCGCTGTTACGCATCGTATCGACACTGGTGCCCATCCACCATTACGGCAACGTCCCTACCGCGTGTCGCCTGCTGAACGTCGGGAAATTAACGAGCAGGTTGATGATATGCTCAGACGCGACATTATTCGGCCCTCGGACAGTCCATGGGCGTCTCCTGTTGTTCTTGTTGCGAAGAAAGATGGTTCTGCGCGGTTCTGTGTGGACTACAGACGGCTAAATAAGATCACTCGCAAGGATGTTTACCCACTAACGCGCATCGATGACGCAATTGACAGCCTTCACGGAGCCGAATTTTTTTCTTCTCTCGATCTGCGCTCGGGGTACTGGCAAGTACCCATGGCTGATGACGCTCGACCGAAGACTGCATTCATCACACCCGACGGCTTGTACTAATTCAACGTCATGCCGTTTGGTCTATGTAATGCACCTACGACCTTTGAGCGCATGATGGACACCGTTCTGCGCAACTTGAAATGGCACACGTGCTTGTGTTACCTCGATGACGTTGTTGTGTTCGCTCCAGATTTCTCTACGCACCTCCAACGTCTGAAAGAAGTTTTTGAACGTGTCAGCAATGCCGGCTTGCAACTAAATCTGAAGAAGTGCCGCTTTGCAGCACGGCAACTCACCATCCTTGGGTACGTCGTGTCCAAGGATGGCATTCTTCCTGACCCAGCCAAGCTTCGGGCCGTGGCCGAATTCCCCAAACCTGCGTCCGTCAAAGAACTGCGTAGTTTCGTGGGCCTGTGCTCATACTTCCGACGCTTCATACGAAACTTTGCCACGATCATATCACCGCTGACGAAGCTCCTTGGAAGTAACGGGTCCCTCAATTCGTGGTCGTCTGAGTGCGACGACGCGTTCGGGAAGCTCCGCCATGTGTTGACGTCTCCTCCCATTCTACGCCACTACGACCCTACGGCCCCGACGGAGGTGCACACAGACGCCAGCGGTGTAGGCCTCGGCGCTGTCCTGGCGCAGCGCAAACCCGGATTCCCTGAATATGTCGTAGCATATGCAAGCCGTACGCTCACGAGAGCTGAGACAAACTACATCGTCACGGAGAAAGAGTGCCTGGCGATCGTCTGGGCTCTTACAAAGTTTCGACCGTATTTGTATGGTCACCCATTCGATGTCGTCACCGACCATCATGCACTATGCTGGCTTTCATCATTGAAGGATCCCTCAGGCCGTCTCGCCCGCTGGGCTCTTCGTTTACAAGACTACGACATCCGCGTGCTGTACCGCAACGGACGCCAGCATGCTGACGCCGACGCCCTCTCGCGCTCCCCTCTGCCTGAAGGTGATGTGCTCTGCTCAGTATCCTCAGCTGCTGTTTCTGCCATTGACGTTGACATAATCGCTACCGAACAGCGAAAGGATAATTGGATCGGCCCGCTGATCGATTTGCTCTCTGATCCATCCGCAACGCCATCCACGCGTGCCTTGCGTCGTCGAGCTCGCCATTTCACCATTCGTGACGGCCTTCTACACCGACGCAATTACGACACCGATGGCCGGCAGTGGTTACTCGTGATACCCCGCAGTCTGCGGTCAGAGATATGTGAATCCTTTCATTCTGATCCGCAATGCGCGCACTCTGGAGTATTCAAAACCTACCATCGCTTTCGGCAACGCTACTTCTGGCGCGGGATGTACCGCTACGTGCAGCTGTTCATTCGCTTCTGCCTCGCTTGCCAACGCCGCAAACCGTCAGCACACACGTCGCTAGCCAGTCTGCAACCGTTACCTTGCCCTGAGCGTCCGTTTGGGCGCATAGGTATCGATTTGTATGGACCACTTCCTCTGACGTCGGCTGGTAACCGCTGGGCCATCGTCGCCGTAGATCATTTAACGCGATACGCCGAAACCGCCGCTATCCCTGCGGCTACTGCGCGTGATGTCGCATCTTTCCTACTGCATCGATTCATACTGCGCCACGGTTCACCTCAGGAGCTTCTCAGCGATCGAGGCCGTGTCTGCTTGTCAGAAGTCGTCGAAGCCATTCTCGCAGAGTGCCATTCTGTCCACCGCAAAACCACTGCTTACCACCCACAGACGAATGGCCTCACCAAACGCTTTAACCGCACCCTCGGCGACATGCTTTCGATGTACGTCGCCGCCAACCACACGAATTGGGATACTATACTGCCCTTCGTCACATACGCCTACAACACCACCCCTCGGAGCACAACCGGGTTTTCACCTTTCTTCTTGCTGTACGGAAGGCACCCCTCACACACTATCGACACAATACTCCCGTACACGCCGGATCCATCTGAATGTGCACCTATTTCTGAGACAGCCAGGCTTGCTGAAGAGTGTCGAGAGCTTTCCAAGACATTTACGACGCATGAGCAAGAGCGGCAGAAGAGTATTCGTGATGGCTCCGCCACTTCTGAGCCCACGTTCCTTCCTGGTTCTCTTGTATGGCTCTCAATCCCGACCTCTGTAGCTGGCCTTTCTTCCAAACTACTCCCGAAATACGAAGGCCTCTACC